GGGGTGGAGTGGCAGGGTGGCCTAGTGGTGAAGACGCTTGCCTCCCACTCAGAAGGTTGAGAGTTCAACCCTAGATAGGAGCAGATGTTTCTCTCTCAGGGCGCAAAGAGAAAATATCTGCTGCGAACTCCTTGTAGGTGTCAGGAAGGGTATCCAGCCAGTAAACGCTCAACTTCATCCCAGTTTCTCTGATCCTACCCAGAATTAAAGGATTACAAGAGTCATAAAAAGAATAAATAAATAAATAAATGGGGTGTACTTTTAATAATCATATTCAAATAATGAAGATTTAAATTCATTTAGATTTAAATAAGATTTATTTACTTTTTTAAAAAAAAATCCAATTGTGTTTCTGTTCTATCTCTACTTACTTCTTTATTTTTTGAGCAAGCTTCCGAAAAACTAATACCAACCATGGTTCAAAAAAAAAAATTTGCAGGCACTGTTGTGGAAAACTTCAGTGCATAGGTAGTCCTCAACTTAATGGCCACAACTGAGCTCAAAATTTCCAGTTGTTAAGTGAGTTTTGCTCCATTTTTTTGCTGTCGTTCTTAAGCGAATCGCTGTTAAAACAGTAATAGTGAATCTGGCTCCCCCCCCCGTTGACCTTGCTAGTCAGAAGGTCACAGAATGTGATCACATGGCCCCAGGACACTGCAACTGTCATAAGTACAAACCAGTTGCCAAGTGTTTGAATTTTGATCACGAGGCCATGGGGATGCTGCAACGGTCGTAAGTGTGAAAAACGGTCATAGGTCACTGTTTTCGGTGCCTGTGTAACTTTGAACGGTCACTAATCGAATAGTTGTAAGTAATTACTTGCAGTAATTACTTGCAAGTAATTACAGCTGAGACTCCTTTACTCCATGCTTAGTTTTTTTTTATAGTCCATGTCAGCTGTTTGGCTGTTGAAATTAGAAGAGTTTCAAATTCCATCTGTTTGTTCCCTTTTCGTCAGGCTCCACAGCAGTTTTTTTCGTATTTTTGAGTTCCCTTACACAACGCACACGTGGCTGGCACCTGTATCCCAGTAATTAGCCTTACTGGTCTTTTGACAGATGTTGCAAACAGCCTGAAATTCTTCCGTTGAAAAGATGCTGGCTCCAACCACCGTGAAGTTGCCAGATTTTGTGATTGAATTACTGGGTCTCCTGCTGTTCGTTAGTCCACAATGATTAACCGGTTGTTTGTGGCTGGGTGGAAAGAGGGGAGCGGTCTAGCTGCCTCTTAAAGAAAAGATTTACAGCCTCCTCCCTCAGGCTCTTTCATGGGAATTTACTGTTGAGGTCGCCTAGTTGCTGGTTTAAAGACAGTATTTGTTGCTTCCGTGACTCCATCCAGCCACCTCATTCTCTGTCGTCCCCTTCTTCTATTGCCCTCCATCTTTCCCAGCATTAGGCTCTTCTCCAGGGAGTCCTTCCTTCTCATTAGGTGGCCAAAGGACTTGAGTTTCCACTTCAGGATCTGGCCTTCTAAAGAGCAGTCAGGGTTGATCTCCTCTAGGACTGACCGGTTGGATCGCCTTGCAGTCCAAGGGGCTCGCAGGACTCTTCTCCAGCACCATAGTTCAAAGGCCTCCATTCTTTGGTGCTCAGACTTTCTTATGGTCCAACTTTCACAGCCATACATTGCAACTGGGAAAACCATGGCCTTGACTATACGTACTTTTGTTGGCAGGGTGATGTCTCTGTTTTTTAGTATGCTGTCTAGATTTGCCATAGCTTTCCTCCCCAGGAGCAAGCGTCTTTTAAGTTCTTGGCTGCAGTCCCCATCTATGGTGATAAAATCTGTCACTACCTCCATTTCTTCCCCATCTATTTGCCAGGAATTGAGACAGTATAGAAAGAAGTAATGCCACGTTGGTTTTGTTAACCGCACATTAAGGAAAGTTTGGCTTCACCTCCACTGCAGTGCTTTTAAAACCGAGGCGTTTGTAGTGGATTTCACTTGAATTTAACTTGAATTTCACAGTTTGGTGAAATTCTGCTCTGTTGGGAACCTGGTGGAAGGTTTAGCACATGGTCCTGGTGCAATTGGGGGGGGGCACAATGGCTCAGAGACTAAAGACGCTGAGCTTGTCAGCTGGAAAGCTGGTAGCCTGGGTTTAAGATCCAAGAGCCATGCGACAGGGTGAGCTCCCGTCCTTTGCCCTAGCTCGGGGTAGGCAACCTTGGCTCTTTTATGACTCGTGGATTTCAACTCCCAGAATTCCTGAGCCAGCATGGAAGAAACTTTGGCCCCTTCATGACTGGTGGACTTCAACTCCCAGAATTCCTGAGCTAGCATGGCTGTGCTTGGAAACCTCTCCCTTTCCCCTTAGCATGACTGGCTCAGGAATTCTGGGAGTTGAAGTCCACCAGTCATAAAAGAGCCAAGGTTACCTACCTCTGGCCTAGGCCTAGGCGGCTTTATGACTCATGGACTGCAACTCCCAGAATTCCTGAGCCAGCATGGCTCAGCTTGGAAACTCTCCCTTTCCCCTCAGCATGACTGGCTCAGGAATTCTGGGAGTTGAAGTCCACCAGTCATAAAAGAGCCAAGGTTACCTACCTCTGGCCTAGGCCTAGGCGGCTTTATGACTCATGGACTTCAACTCCCAGAATTCCTGAGCCAGCATGGCTCAGCTTGGAAACTCTCCCTTTCCCCTCAGCATGACTGGCTCAGGAATTCTGGGAGTTGAAGTCCACCAGTCATAAAAGAGCCAAGGTTACCTACCTCTGGCCTAGGCCTAGGCGGCTTTATGACTCATGGACTGCAACTCCCAGAATTCCTGAGCCAGCATGGCTCAGCTTGGAAACTCTCCCTTTCCCCTCAGCATGACTGGCTCAGGAATTCTGGGAGTTGAAGTCCACCAGTCATAAAAGAGCCAAGGTTACCTACCTCTGGCCTAGGCCTAGGCGGCTTTATGACTGGTGGACTTCAACTCCCAGAATTCCTGAGCCAGCATGGCTTAGCTTGGAAACTCTCCCTTTCTCCTCAGCATGACTGGCTCAGGAATTCTGGGAGTTGAAGTCCACCAGTCATAAAAGAGCCAAGGTTGTCTACCCATGCCATAGCTCCTGCCTGCCTACTTGTTGGAAAGCATGCAAATGCGAGTAGATAAATAGGTACTACTTGGGTGGGAAGGTAACAGTATTCAGTGCGCTTTTGGTATACAGTCATGCTGGCCACATGGCCAGGGAAGCATCTTTGGACAATGCTGGCTCCCTCAGCCAAGAAATGGAGATGTGGATCGCGCCTTAAAAGTCCAAGATGACCTTTTACCTGGTGCAAGGAGGAGATTCTTTCCTCCGTTCCTTCTTTCTTCTTTTCCTATGTGTGGGAACTGAGAAGGACTTTCAGATCAACAGGCCAAGTTAGCTCATATCTGTAAAGTGGGGGGGGGTTGGCCTGTACAAGTGTTCCACTTTTTCCTTTGTTTTAGAGGCAAAATCTTATTGCATGGTGCAAAAGAGAGCAAGACAGGGTGGAAATAAAAATGCACCAATCCTTTAAATATCTTCTCTCTGTTTTCCACAAAGGCCCTAAGCTGAAATATTCCTTCCTTCCTTCCTTTCTTCTTTCCTTCCTTCCTTCCTTCCTTCTTTCCTTCCTTCCTTCCTTCCTTCCTTCCTTCCTTCCTTCCTTCCTTCCTTCTTTCCTTCCTTCCTTCCTTCCCCCCTTTCTTTCTTTCTTTCTTTCTTTCTTTCTTTCTCTCTCTCTCTCTCTCTCTCTCTCTCCCTCCTTCCCTTCCCCTTCCCCTTCTCCCTCCCTCTTTTCCTTTTCCTTCCTTCCTTCCTTCCTTCCTTCCTTCCTTCCTTCCTTCCTTCCTTCCTTCCTTCCTTCCTTCCTTCCTCCCTCCCTCCCTCCCTCCCTTTCCCTTCCCTTCCCTTCCCTTCCCTTTTTTTTTCTTCTTCCTCCTATATCCCATCCAATCCCATCCCACCCTACCCTACCCTATTTTTTTCCTAGTTCTTAGCATAACCTCATAACGCTGCTTACCACAACAGAGAATGTAGCTTGTTGAGTATGTATGTTGGTAAATGAAATAAGCACAATTTAAAGTGCCGCTGCTATTACTGCAGCGTGTAAATTGTAAGATTTTTGGGTCTGTTCTAAAATTGTCTTTCCCAATCAAATACATTTTGGGTACCACTAGACTGCAGTGTCCAAAATTTCCAGCTGCTATGTAATTACCCAGTAATTGACATCTTAAGAAAAAAAATACCCCATCATATACATAGACCTGAGATGGTGTGTTGTTAAAAAAGAAAGAAAGAAAATAGTTTTCCCACAATTGGAATAAATACTGAAAAGTGCTTTTGCTTTCTCTATAACAGGGGTCTGCAACCTTGACCACTTTAAGACTTGTGGACTTTCAGCTCCCAGAATTCCTCAGCCAGCTATGCTGGTTGAGGAATTCTGGGAGCTGAAGTCCACAACGCTGCCGTTTATGGTCCACAAGGCTGCTGTTTATGGTCCACAACGCTGCCGTTTATGGTTCAATCTCTACTTTTGAACTCAGAGAAAAAGGAAATGCCACCCCATTTTCTTAATTGGAAGCTGATCCATTTGTTCACCCTATTTAGTCCACATATAAGGAAAGCATAACACAGCACAACATTGAACAGTGCAGCTTTTCAGCGTAGATAAAAACATACTTTGATCTCTGGGGATGATGTAAGAATTCTAATGATGAATTTACACTGGGGAAGTATTGTAACCCAATTGTCATTCATGCATCAATGTAATTTGAGATAATTAGGTTTTTTTTTTTAAAAAAAAAAATTTCCCACGGTGAATGGTAAGATCCACAAGTTATGGAATAATAACTTCTTTTTACTGTATATAATTCGGGATCATTATTGAAGCTGCCGATTACTTGCAGCCTAAGAGGATTATAAAGCTTAACCGGATTTTAATTTTAGGGAGGGATTGCGAGATTCATTTTAATTGCAACTCTCCCTCATTAGTTTTTACAGGGTTATGTTGAAAGTGTTTCATTTCTTTTCTTTTTTCAGTGAATAGCTCGTTAATCAATGAGACAGTCACGTCATCGCCAGCTTGGCTTATGGAACCGGTAAGCCAAAATAAGGTTATAATACTTGAACTAGTTATGCACAGTGCAATTACTCTTACTTAACTTTTAATGCGTCCTCATCCCTGTTTTATTTTGCCTTAATTTCGGAGTTGAATTAGCACCTGTTTCATAGGATTACTGTATTTTAAACAAAATCACAGTACAAAGTCAACATTTTTGCACACAGTTCGGCTGTGTACATGTTTATTCAGCAGTAGATCCCACTGAGGTCTTTGGGATTTATTTCAAAGTTGGTAAGCATAATAGTTTAACTTTTCCCTCATATCTGTCAACCATCCTGTTAGTAAATGCAGCAAACGAAACTCCTGGGACATCATTTTACCAAGAGTATAACTTTGCTATCCCTAATCTTTGTCCATACTGACACCAAACAGCATCAGTTTGATTGGAGCAATACAAGAATCGTTGGCCACGCTACCACCCGTCACGCTCACAAGTTCATCGAAGTCTGGCACCCCACAAGCAATTCCATCAACAGACACACTGGCTTACAACCAGCCTACATAAACCCCTCAGGATCCAAATCAACCGCAAAAGGCAATGTTAGTTTGAACAGCCTACGTCCTGAGACAATATTTTTAACATCATTAAACAACATCTGCCTAACCCAGGTCCTGGAAGGGACTCGATATATGGACAAAAATGCCAAACCCAGTCTGAACAATCATCATCATCACCATCATCATCATCATAAAGTTGGAAGGGACCTTAGAGGTCATCTAGTCCAACCCCCTGCTCAGGCAGGAAACCGTATACCAGGGATAGGCAACCTTGGCTCTTTTATGAATCGTGGACTTCAACTCCCAGAATTCCTGAGCTAGCATAGGAATAGCATAGCATAGCTGGCTCAGGAATTCTGGGAGTTTAAGTCCACGAGTCATAAAAGAGCCAAGGTTGCCTACCCCTGCCCTATACCATTTCAGACAAATGGCTGTCCAGTCTCTTCTTAAAAACCTCCAGTGTTGGAGCATTCACTGCTTCTGGAGGCAGGTTGTTCCACTAGTTAATTGTTCTCACAGTCAGGAAGTTTCTCTTTAGTTCTAGGTTGCTTCTCTCCTTGATTAGTTTCCATCTGTTGCTTTTTGTCCTGCCTTCAGGTGCTTTGGAGAAGAGCTTGACTCCCTCTTCTTTGGGGCAGCCCCTGAGATACTGGAACACTGCTATCATGGCCCCCCTCATCCTTCTCTTCATTAAACTAGACATACTCAATTCCAGCAACTGTTCTTTATATGTTTTTGCCTCCAGTCCCTTCATCATCTTTGCTGCTCTTCTCTGTACTCTTTCCAGAGTCTCAGCATCTTTTTTACATCGTGGTGACCCAAACTGAATTCAGTATTCCAAGTATGGCCTTACCAAGGCATTGTAAAGTGGTATTAACACTTCACGTGATCTTGATTCTATCCCTCTGTTAATGCAGCCTAGCACCGTGTTGGCTTTTTTGGCAGCTGCAGCACACGACTGGCTCATATCTGGCTGACATTGTGACGAACCATAACTTAAATTATAATTAACAATTGGCTACAACAGTTTTTAAAACCAAATTTGGCCACATTCAAAAAAAATCCAAACTCTGTTGGTTGATCTGGAAAACTACACATAAATCAAGTACAGATAGTCCTCAACCTATGACCACAGTTGAGCCCCAAATTCCTGTCGCTAAGTGAAGCAGTTAACTGAACGTAGGCTGTTCGTACATTTTACGACCTTTCTTGCTCCAGTTGTTAACTGGATCGCCACAATTGTTACGTTAGTAACACGGTTATTAAGTGAATCTGTCTTCCCCATTGACTTTGCTTGTCAGAAGGTTGCAACAGGTGAACACATGAACCTGGGACACAGCAACCGTCATAAATACATGCCAGTTGACAAGGGTCCGTATTTTTTGATCACGTGATCAGGGGGACCCTGCATCGGTGGTACGTGTGAAAAAATGTGTCCTAAGTCACTTTTTTTCATTGCTGTTGTAACTTTGAACGATCCCTAAATGAATTGTTGTGAGTCAGGAGCTATTTGTAGCTTGGAAACTTAATTAAAGGGTGTGTGTGTGTAAAACATAGCCCTGTGTTTTTATAAAATCAGCAGTGCAACAGCTCATGGATCACAGCCAATGCTCTTCACACTTCCGAGTGGAAAAAGGAGAACTTTGTCAAATGAAAACTATAAGTTCTTTTCCTCCCTCTGGGTTTTACAGTTACGCTGTTGAGAAGATAGCTGTGAAAATGGCGGCCTGATGCAAAGAACTTGCGAAAGGTTTTATCACTTTTAGGCTAATAAAAATTCCTCCCAGTTGAATAAGCTGTAACTCAGGGGAGGAATGTTCTATACATTGAAAAGGTTAAGTTAGGTAAGTTAGCTGGTGAGAATAAATGGATTCTGAGCTGTTGGATGTTGTTTAGCTTAGTTCAGGGGTTCTCAACCTTGGCAACTTTAAGACTTGCGGACTTCAACTCCCAGAATTCCTCAGCCAGCCATGCTGAGGGGAAAGCAAGAGGTTTCCAAGCTGAGCCATGCTGGCTCAGGAATTCTGGGAGTTGAAGTCCACAAGTCTTAAAGTTGCCAAGGTTGAGAACCCCTGGCTTAGTTCAGGGGTAGGCAACCTTGGCTCTTTTATGACTTGTGGACTTCAACTCCCAGAATTCCTGAGCCAGCATGGCTCAGCATGGAAACTCTCCCTTTCCCCTTAGCATGGCTGGCTCAGGAATTCTGGGAGTTGAAGTCCACGAGTCATAAAAGAACCAAGATTGCCTACCTCTGGCCTAGGCCTAGGCCACTTTATGACTCGTGGACCAACTCCCAGAACTCCTGAGCCAGCATGGCTCAGCTTGGAAACCTCTTGCTTTCCCCTCAGCATGGCTGGCTGAGGAATTCTGGGAGTTGAAGTCCACCAGTCATAAAAGAGTCAAGGTTGCCTACCCCTGGCTTAGTTGAACCAAAATTCTTGCATTAGCCCTTCTGTTGGAGTCCTTGATACAAACTTTTGAAAAAGCCGGCTGTTCTTAAAGCAGAATGCAAAACCAAGTCCTCACGTAAGTACTCAATTTTAAGTAGTTGGGTAGAAAGGCTAAATTAAATAAACACATTAAAATATGACAGGGATCAACAACAATGAAGGTATCCTGTGCCAGGATTATGGAATATCCTTACAAGATATAACTTGTGTTGTTAGATTTGTCTAAATTACTATAGTCCTGTTTGCTTGATACAGCCAGTCCAGTGAATTCAATTCAGAATACAGTTGGAAGGGACCTTGGAGGTCTTCTAGTCCAACCCCCTGCTCAAGTAGGAGACCCTATATATACCATTTCAGACAAATGGTTGTCCAGTCTCTTCTTAAAACCTCCAGTGATGAAACACCCACAACTTCTGAAGGCAAGCTGTTCCACTGGTTATCTGTTCTCACTGTCAGGAACTTTCTCCTTAATTCCAGGTTGCTTCTCTCCTTGATTAGTTTCCATCCATTGTTTTTTGTCTTGCCTTCTGGTGCTTTGGAAAATAGGTTGACCCCCTCATCTTTGTGGCAGCCCCTCAGATACTGGAATACTGCTGTCATGTCCTCCCCCCCCCCAGTCCTTCTTTTCTCTAGACTGGCCATAGCCAATTTCTGCAATTGTTCTTTGTATGTTTTAGTTTCCAGGCCCTTAATCATCTTGAGACATGAAAATTGATCCTTGAAACAACTCAATCTTTTCACAGGTCCTCTAAGATTTCATTTTGATTGAAGGGATAGTTAGCCCTCAAGTTGGTAGTTCCCATGAAATGGAACTTATCTGACTAAAGAGTTGGTTATACAAAACCCAACTCCTATTTGGTTAATTGGCTTGATTAATTAGCTAAATTTTGGAGTTTGTACTACATATTCATCATCGTGTTCCCCATAACCTACTTGAGCATTTCATGCATTCAAGTATCTGTGTATATTAGGGGTAGGCAACCTTGGCTCTTTTATGACTTGTGGACTTCAACTCCCAGAATTCCTGAGCCAGCCATGCTGAGGGGAAAGGGAGAGGTTTCCAAGCTGAGCCAGGCTGGCTCAGGAATTCTGGGAGTTGAAGCCCGCGAGTCATAAAGCGGCCTAGGCCTAGGCCAGAGGTAGGCAACCTTGGTCTTTTATGACTTGTGGACTTCAACTCCCAGAATTCCTGAGCCAGCCATGCTGAGGGGAAAGGGAGAGGTTTCCAAGCTGAGCCATGCTGGCTCAGGAATTCTGGGAGTTGAAGTCCACAAGTCATAAGAGAGCCAAGGTTGCCCACCCCTGATGTATATAAACCACGAGAACCTCTTTGTAATTTGCAAGCAGAAATAACATCTACATACTGGTAACCCTTGACTTTTGACCACAATGGAGTCCATAATTTCTGGTTGTTCAGTGAGTCATTCGTTAAGTGAGTTTTGCCCCATTTTACGACCTTTCTTGCCATAGTTGTTAAGTGAATCACTGCAGTTGATAAGCTAGTAACCCGGTGGTTAAGTGGATCTGGCTCCCCCATTGACTTTGCTGGTCAGAAGGTCACCAAAGGGGATCAAATGACCCAGGGACACTGCAACAGTCATAAATACATGCCAGTTGCCAAGTCTCTGAATTTTGATCACATGACCATGGGGATGCTGCAACGGTCGTAAGTGTGGAAACCGGTCGTAAGTCACTTTTTTCAATGCTGCTGTAACTTTGAATGGCCACTAAGCAAATAGTTGTAAGTCGAGGACGACATATAAACGTAAAGATGACATCCTGCCAAGGTGAACAGCATCTAGCATTGAGCGAGAAGGCAAGAATCTTTGCTTTAAAGGTGCTGTTGTTTTTTTTTTTCCCTTTTGTGTTTACAGCACAATGGAACAATCGAATGGTCATCCCTCACCAAGGAGCAATGTATGAAATTTGGAGGAATGCTGGTGGGGAACAATTGCAAATACGTCCCTGACATCACCCTCATGTCTTGCATTCTCTTTTTGGGAACCTACACCTGCTCCATGGCTTTGAAGAAATTCAAGACCAGCCGTTATTTCCCAACCATTGTAAGTCGTGTGATTTATGATGGTTTCCCTAGCTATTTCTGCGGCATATCCAGCGCCGTTTGATGGTGCTCGAGAATTAACTTCCTGTTTCAGCTGTTCCTCATTGTAGTCAGTAAGTGGGAGGAGCGATGGTGCCCTGAACAGACATGAGTGGCAGTGCGATGGTCTGTCCAGTTGTATCATGGCCTCCCTCCTCCCTACGGTGAACCACAAACCATGAGTACATGGTTAAGGGAGAATTTGGAGAAGACACCCAGTCCTATGGGTTCCTGGGTGCTCTCTGAGCTTAGTTGTTTTCTTGCAGACATTTCATTACCCAACTAGGAAACATCATCAGTGCTAGAAGGGAGTGTGGGAGGAGGAGGAGGAGGAGGAGGAGGAGGAGGAGGAAGACAACGACAACGACTGTGGCGTCCTTGGTGCTCTCTGAGCTTGGTTGTTTTCTTGCTGATATTTCATTACCCAACTAGATAACATCATCAGTGCTAGAAGGGAATGGGATTTGCAGAAAGGAGGAGGAGGAGGCGGAGGAGGAGGAGGAGGCGGAGGAGGAGGAGGAGGAGGAGGAGGAGGAGGAGGAGGAGGAGGAGGAGGAGGAGGAGGACAACTGTAGGGTCCTTGGTGCTCTCTGAGCTTGGCTGTTTTCTTGCAGACATTTCATTACCCAACTAGGTAACATCATCAGTGCTACTGATATTACCCTAGTTGGGTAAAGAAACATCTGCAAGAGAGCACCAAGGACTCACAGTTCAACCCTAAGCTTATTTCTGTTAATCCAGTCTTCTTTGTGCCTTATAAACCAGTAAGTTTATATATGAACTTTGCTCAAATAGCAATAACCTGAGTATTTAAGTTTATTTTAACCCAACATCGTTCACTGCACACTGTCCTAAGCCTTAAGGCTGCACTTAGATAAAAGGTAGTATGTGGCTGAGACTTGTTTTATTACTTCCTCATTTGATTTATGAAGTACCGAACACATTTGAGTCCTAAGCACTAGGGTAACAGTTCTGGGACCAGAGCCAAATTAATAAAGGTGGAACGATTAGAATTTTGGCAACGGCTTGTCGTGTTTAGAACAATATAGGTGGATAGAAAGGTAAGGAAAGAGTATCTTTAAAAATAATTATTATCCTTCCTCAGAAGGGATAATAACATTTTGCTCTCTTAATAAAATGCCTTCTTTTGGCATGGTAACAATAATGTCTGCTTGTGCACTGAATTGCATTCAATAATGTTAGTTTAAAAAAACAACAACAGCCAAGTGTTTTTGTTCCATTTGGTGTGCATGTTTTCTTGTGCATATGCTCTCTCTTCAAAATTCTCATTCAGCTTTGCTCAGGTTTTCACCAGTTGGGTGGGGTCAGCTGAAGAGATTTTGAAAACCAGGATTATGAACGAGTTTGATGGGAAGGGTCCTCTGAGGTGGGAATGTGGTAACCAAGTAGATGCCAGAATCTTCTGGAATGTTCTTCCGCCGAACTGACAGAGTTGTGCTGTTTCTAGTTTCTGATTTTCTACTTGTTATTTTCAGCGTTGGGTTTTTTTTTTTTTTTCCCTGCATATTTGTCAGCCCCTTAAAACGGGCAAGTTTAAAAAATTGATGTAATTGCCTTTCTGTTTCAGGCAAGGAAATTGATCAGTGATTTTGCCATCATCATTTCTATTTTCATTTTCTGTGGAATCGATGCTCTGGTTGGTGTAGACACCCCAAAACTCCTTGTGCCAAGTGAATTCAAGGTAAGTTTAAAAACTGTTTCCTCCCTTCTTTTAAGACAGTGGTTCTCAACCTTTCTAATGCCGCAACCCCATAATACAGTTCCCCATGTTGTGGTGACCCCCAACCACTTATACATCACCGGGTGCCAGGGGCGTGGCCAAAGAAAAGGGGGAAAAGATGGCGGACAGCCTTGTTTGGCAACCCCCATGAAATGGTCGTTCGACCCCAAATGGGGTCCCGACCCACAGGTTGAGAACCACTGTTTTAAGAAGACAAGGAATTAGCAATACATGGAGGACGATTATCAAATCTGGGCTGCAAAACCAAGATGACCAGCAGATGGCAGCAAAGATATACATTAAAACCAGCTCTTTGCTACCACATTGTGGTTTCTAGGATGTTTGCAACCTATAATCAATTGCATAATCCTATCGAAGTATGACTTCATTGTACATCTGCATCATAATTCGTGCCTCTACTATTTACTGCTATAGAACACTGGGACAACTACACTTTGCAAAGCGCTAACGGGGAACTTACCCTTAGTGACCCACCGACTCATTACAGCAAGTTTTTCAGTACTTTTGAGCAGAGGCGATGGGATAAGCATCAACAAGCGTGTGAGATCAGAATAAAGACCCAGAGCAAGACAACTTTAATCTATAGCAGGGGTGTCAAACTGCTGGCCCGCCAGCTGGAGGCATCATGCCAAAACCGCACCCATCCCAGCTCCAGCAATAGGGAAAAAGTTGTGATACGTCACCCCTGATCTATAGGGTTTTTAAAAAGTTTTATTTTAGAAATTAAATTTGGTTAATATGACAGCTTCTATATATTTGGTATTTTCTCCTTTCTGTAAATTTAACCAGCCACTTTTGCAGATCTTTAAGGGACGCCTTTACGATTTAGGGTAAAAGCACGTATAACTCATCACTTCACATTGGGCAATCTTCTGTGCAATCCAGCTACCTCTTACAGTAGGGGTGTCAGGCTGCCAGCCTACAGGCCGGATGTGTCCTGCGGAAGCTGTGCCCACCCCATCTCCGGCAAGGAGAAAAAAGTCACGATACGTCGCAACACGTCATGTGACGTGGCGAGCTTGACACCCCTAGTCTTACAGGGAGTCTTGATTCCATACTGCAGCAATAGCCACCTGCCAATAGATCTGTATCTTGTTCTGGTCTGAAAAAAATACGGTGACCACCAGAGGGCAGCAAAAAGACCCAGAAGTCCCCCATCTCTTTGCTGCCATCTTGTGGACATTTGGATGCTTTCATGCAAAGCATCCAAATGTTTTCACGGTGGATTGCTGAGTAGTTTGTGAAAGCTTTTTTTCTGCTCTTGTTTCTAACATTGCGTATGAATAATGGGAAGTGCAAATACAAAAAAATATATACAGTGGATATGAGGATCTAAAAACGCAAGGGATATGGGAAGTATTCTTTGACCCTTCCTTGCTATGGCTTGTTTTTTTTTTTTTGTGAACTTGTCTTTCTGATGCCCTTTTCTGTCTTTTTCCCTGTGAAGCCAACAAACCCAAATAGAGGCTGGTTTATCGCACCGTTCGGAGGAAACCCGTGGTGGGTGTATCTGGCCGCAGCTATTCCTGCTCTCCTGGTGACCATCCTCATCTTCATGGACCAGCAAATCACAGCTGTTATTGTCAACCGTAAAGAGCACAAACTAAAGGTGGGTGCCTCGTTAGGCAAGCTTTGAACGGGGATGAACCAAATTGTTTTAAAGAGTAAATTGGGGTAGATCTCGCTAGGAGATTGGGGCAGTTAACTGTGCTGAGGACAATGGTGATAAGTTCCAATGAGGTCTCCTTGGAAGCAGTTCATTGCTTAAAATAATGCGTCGAGGGATGCATTATTAAGTGGTCATCCTTGGTTGTATAAACAGAGGCATGGAATCAAAATCACGTGAAATACCGTATTTTCCGGAGTATGAGACGACTTAGCGTATAAGACGACCCCCGACTTCGGAGACGATTTGCATGCTTAGAAAGTCGTCTTATATGCCGGAAACTACCGTAATTTCTGGCGTATAAGATGACTCGGCGTATAAGACGACCCCCAACTTCGGAGACAATTTGCATGCTTTAGAACAGTGGTTCTTAACCTTTTTAATGCCGTGACCCCCCAACCGGTCATAAGTCGAGGACTACTCAACCGGTCGTAAGTCGAGGA